ATGTTGTTCACCTTGGAGGGTCTCCAGTGGACTGGAAGACGAAAAAGCAGGACACAGTCTCCCACTCATCAGCTGAAGCAGAGTATAGATCAATGGCGGAAGGGCTGTGTGAACTTAAATGGATGAAGAGACTACTTGCTGACTTAGGTGTACTTCAGCATGGACCAATGGACATGTTCTGTGACAACAAAGCGGCAATGCACATAGCGGCGAACCCGGTCTTTCATGAGCGTACCAAACACATCGAGTCAGATTGAAGTATAAATTATATGTTCTTATTCTAGCTAGATGTTTAATTTTTGATATAAATTAGATTAGTCGAGTCATTTCATTTTGTGAGTATATTGAGTTAAATATATTTTTAAATTAAAATTGAAGTATAATTAATTTTTGTTTTAGTTAAGTCAAATCGTATTAGTTTTATTTATCGCTTAAATATACATATATTTCCATAATATTTATTTACCTCTTTATTTTAGTCAAGTCAAATCAAATTAGTTTTATTTATCGCTTAAATATACATGTATTTTCATAATATTTATCAATTTATATGTTGATTTTTAAAAATATATTACAAAATAAAGTGTAACTGATAAAGTTTTGAATGTTTATGAACATATATATTTTTATTGTTTGGAAAATATATTTTATGTTATTTAAAAATATATATTAATGGGGGGGGGGGAGGGGTATTACTCCTTTGTGAACTTTTCTTTTTAATAAAGTCATATTATATACATGTATGTTCGTTTTTAAATTGTTTTTAAAATTTTACAAATATTTCCTTTTTATTATATATGTTATTTGGAAAAACGTAAAAAAGAAACTAAATAAAAAATTAATAATAATCTTAAAATATAACAATTCATTAAGGGTATCTATGTAATCAACCATCGCGAGAGTTAACGTGAGTGCGACAACGTAGGAAACTGACTTCTCAAATAATATTAATATATATATATAAATTCTACAAAAAGAATTAAATTGTAATTGGTTAATATTTTCTTTTTCTTTTTAATATACCTTGATACAACTTCTAATTTATATGAATAAAATTAAATAGATTTTTATTATTATAAAATTATATGTTCTTATTCTAGCTAGATGTTTAATTTTTGATATAAATTAGATTAGTCGAGTCATTCATTTTGTGAGTATATTGAGTTAAATATATTTTAAATTAAAATTGAGGTATAATTAATTTTTATTTTAGTTAAGCCAAATCGTATTAGTTTTATTTATCGCTTAAATATACATATATTTCCATAATATTTATTTACCTCTTTATTTTAGTTAAGTCAAATCAAATTAGTTTTATTTATCGCTTAAATATACATATATTTTCATAATATTTATCAATTTATATGTTGATTTTTAAAAATATATTACAAAATAAAGTGTAACTGATAAAGTTTTGAATGTTTATGAACATATACATTTTTATTGTTTGGAAAATATATTTTATGTTATTTAAAAATATATATTAATGGAGGGGTATTACTCTTTTGTGAACTTTCCTTTTTAATAAAGTCATATTATATACATGTATTTTCGTTTTTAAATTGTTTTTAAAATTTTAGAAATATTTCCTTTTTATTATATATGTTATTTGGAAAAACGTAAAAAGGAAACTAAATAAAAAAATTAATAATAATCTTAAAATATAACAATTCATTAAGGGTATCTATGTAATCAACCATCGCGAGAGTTAACGTGAGTGCGACACGTATGAAACTGACTTCAGAAATAATATTATAGAGATATGATGTGCAGGTTTTTGACTTTGCTGGTTTCATGAAGCCTGAGTATGATACTCCCATATTCTGTGCCAACTTCTTCACATCTGCCAACATGAACTGGAGTGATCAGGTTTGTGTTCTCCAAAAGCTTACTACTGTATGCTCTTCTTGAGGGATCTAAATCCTTTGCATCAGTTGACTGGCCAGACAGATTACCATGACAAGTATTTTTTTTTTGTTTTTTGAAAGAATGTAAAATTTATTCAATCAAAACCTTTTTACAACAAGTGCATCGGTTTTTCTTAGAAAAGGGAACCATACAAACACTGAAAAATTTATTCAAAGTGCATCTGATTCTTTTCCTTTTTTGGTAAAATCATCTCTGAACGTGAATCGGCTCAAGAAAAACTCCACGGATCTCGCCTTGGGCACACGACGAGTCAAGGTAAGGCAACTGTGTCTGTACCTAGGAGTATATAACAGCCACGGTTTGAAATGCAAAAGTTGTTTGTTACTCTTTTTTTGTATAATACCCAGGTTTTGGCCCACTAGACTGAAGGCTCCCATGCCCTCATTGAAGAATCTTCTGACTACAGCTACGCGATCAACATCCTTACCAACTCGAGCCTTGCACGAGTCCTTGTATCTTATGTAGACAATTGCAAATAAGTCGAGTCCCTCTTGGGTACTAGTAGTATCGATAGCTACTTTGACAATCTTCAAGTTGGACACAAGATGGTTCTCAAGGGTGTCCCCCCTATTCGACGTGGCAACTGCGAGTTCCAAGTATAGACGAATCCAATCATCATTCTCTCGCAACTCTGATTTCTTCAGCTGCAAGTAAACACATATAATAGTCACGAAAACAAAAAAGGAAAACGTGCAATGCAAGCAAGGGTTGGTTGGGATAGCCTCTCACAACGTAACATCTCTTTGATTTCTTAAAAGGATTCTTGGGCGGCCACTCAGGAAAGGTATGAAGCAAGTCTTCCACAGGTTTGGGCGGCCACTCACTACTTTTCTTGATTTCAGTTTCGCCTATAAAAGCTCAAAATCAGCAATAATGTGATAGATTGTTTTACCACCAAAAAAAAAAAAAAAAAATTACCAAGAGGTCTAGCAATACTGCAATCCAAAACAAATTGGCCAGAGCGTAGTTCATCAACTCTAGTCTGAAAAGTTTGAAGCAGCTGGGTAGCTGGATCAACAGCTACCAAAGTTATGTAGTAAGAGGGAGTAGTAGAACCAATGGACTTGTTGTATTTCCTAACGCTACTGAGCTGTAAGTTCTTCCCCTAATTGATCAAGAAATAAAGAAATAAATAGATTGGACTAATAAAATATATATATAGTAGAGCCTCTATAAATTAATACTCGATAAATTAATATACACTAAATATCTCTATAAAATAATATAATTTTATAGTCTCAAATTAAGTTTTTATAGTCTCAAATTAAGTTTTTGGTTCGATTAGTATATCGATAAATTAATATCTCTCTAAATTAATAAAAAAAAAAATCCCAACATTATTAATTTATAGAAGTTTAACTGTATATATAAAAATAAATAAGGGGTGGTTATAATACCTGGAGCAAATTGTAACGATGAAGGCCTAACTGAGAATAAAGGAGGACTAAGGGGGAACAAGTATCATTACAGATGTGTTCAATTAGTCCAGGAGCAAAGTCTGGTACTGGAAGACCACTGACATCGAACCCCTATGGCGACAGACGACCCATTAATTAGCTAGTCATGTAACCAAACCCCTAGAAGCATAGAAACAATAGTTAAAGAATATTACCTCGGATTCATTCACTTGTTTCATATAGATCCTCTTACGACGCTCAACCTCCTTCATTGGATACCAGACAAGAAAGCAACCATCGTTGCGCCGCTGATGCTTTTTTCTTCTTTTCTTTTAGTTTGGTTTCTTTCCTCTTTTTCGACTTAGGGTTGTTCCTCTATACGAGATATTGATATACTCGAATTTTTTTTTATTCCCTAACATTATCATAATCTATCTACCTTTTCTATTATTTGCAAAGATTGGACTTGCTAGTTAGAATAGTTAAAATTGTTATTACTCTTAATAAATTATCATTTTGTTTTTTTTTTCAAAATTATATTTTAGCTCTTGTTTTTATATAGTCCATTTTTATTATTATTATATTAGATAATATGTTTTTAAATTCATTTTTATTCGAATTTGTATTTTTTTTTGTTTTTCAAAATCTACAAAAAAATGAAACTATTTGTTTTTTGTTTTTTTTTTTTAAATCATATATCATACACTGAATCTAAATTCTAGATATAATTCATGTCTGACACTACGCTAGACGTTACTCAGACGGGAAGTCCAGGCCTAGTGAGTTATCAAAAAATCGCAAAGTACTCGGAGAATACGCGGCGAGGGATTTTTGTATTTTTATAGGTATAATACCCTATTTATATGTATAAGAAAAATTTGATAAAAAAATACATATAATACAAATATTTTTGTATAATAAATGTTTATGTAAAACAAAATTGTTACATCCCTTGTTATTGTATTAACTAGTAGTTTTTTTTGGCTACGTCCGGACTTTCTTATATAAATTTTATTTTAATTTATTATATTAATTTTGAATATATATAATGCCTATATATCGATTTAAAAATAAATAACTTATAAACCGAAGTTTAAATTATTAAACTATAAACGAACTAATATTGAATTCAATATTATGTGTTTTCTTGTTTTAATTATGCTAAATTGCTAAGATTTAAAATAAATTTATATGGCATTTGATCAAAAACTGTAAAATGTCTACATTGACCAAACAAGTTGCATTCGTTACATGGAAGTTGCATTGACCAAAGAAGTTATAATGTGAACTCACATAATAAGTTGGGCCACTTTTTTTGGTTCCAAAAAGGTGTTAAATGCAAACACCACAAATCAAAATGAATCAAGAAAAACATCAACAACAAATTTAACTTCACAAGATCAATAAGCTTCTTTTAATATTTATATTATAGTTGAAACCAGATACTTAGAAAGAAACAGAAGTCAAACTTAAAATAAAGATAACACAGGAGAAAGCAGAAGATTACTCTACATCCAGACCACAAACACAAGACAAGCTTCTTAAACCACACCACCAAAACCAGACCAAACACCATATTACTGATTTCCCTCTTCAACAGCAACCACAACAATACTCATACCATATTGCATCCAAAACCAATGCAGCAAGCACTCTCTACATACTCACACTTCCTTATGGACCTCTCTCGCATTTGGAAACTACAATCTTTCCACCTTTAATCGGTAGAGGATGCATCAACCTCGAAGGAGGAACAACCACCTGCACTGGAGGCCATATGTCAAAGTTCCATGAATGTAGAATATGCGCCTTGGAAGAGTTCCCGTTTGTAGAGCTTAAACCCACCATGCACTCACCACCTTTCAATATCTCTGCCAAATCTACATAGAAATCAAAGGATGGATCCATCATCTTTATGCTGCCTAATTTTCTGAACCGAACTTGCATTCTCTTAGCACTTGCCTTATATTCAATCATACAGCTCAACGTCCCTCCATTCGCCATCAACAAGTTACCCTTAAAAGAAAGGTTTCTAACTTCAGAAGATTCAGGTTTACCTACCAAGATTCTTGCATGGTTTCCTCTATTGGAAATATCAAACTCAAAAGCGACAACTTGCTCGTTCTTTGCATGCTCAAACAGAAACCCTAAAGCAGAGGAACTGTTACCTCTCTGATTGAACAGACGAAGATCCATACTAGTTGGAACCATTACAAAAGCCATGACATCATCAGTCTCATTAGGCATAGAAAACCTGAAGGAACTCGTGAAACTTAACGAGTTACCAGTCTCTACATCTTGGAAAAGATTGATGGGTTCCTTGTAAAGGACTCTTCCCTCGCTTCCACTCTCTGAGTTTGTCAGCTGGATCGACGAACCTTCTTTGATCAGCTTCGAATCTCCAAAGAGTGCAACTTCCTTGTCAAAAATCATAGGTTTGAACATCTTGTCTTGTTTTTCTTTTTTTTTGTGTGTGTGTGCTTCTTGTGAATGCAAAACGGACGAAAGATTAAATAGCAATCTTCTAACAGAGAGAAGATTTCTTTCCTAACCCTCACGGACACGTTTCTCTCTCTCATTATCTCATAGTTATTGCCCAGTAATATGACTTATTTTTGTGTTAGCTCTTAAAATGAAATTATAAGTTCACCAATCAATTGGATGGTTTTGTTTCATATCTGATATCTTTTTAAAAAGTAAATAAAATCTTCTCAAGTGAAACAAAATCTTGACAAAACTTTATATTTTTTTAAATATATCAAATATGAAATAAAATCATCATATTGGTTAGTGAAACTTATGAATTATTCTTGGGTTCATTTCTTAAAATGAACTTCTAAATTTACCAACCAATAAGATGGTGTTATTTCATATTGATATCTTTTTAAAAAATAAATAAAATCTTGTCAAGTAAAACAAAATTTTGACAAAATTTTATTTCCTTAAAAAAAATATCAAATATGAAATAACATCATCATATTGATTGGTGAACATTGTGAGTTATTATTGGGTTCACTCCCTAGGATGAATTTTTAGGTTCACCAACCAATATGATGGTGTTATTTCATATTTGATGTCTTTTTGAAAAAGAAATAAAATCTTGTTAAAATATTTTTATTTTAGTTTTCGCTTTTTTGTAAATATTATTATTTTTTATTTATTTTTTCTATTTTTATTTTAGTAACATAATATAACTTAACAAAAAAAATTTTTTTTAAAAAAATATCAAATATGCAATAACACCATCTTATTAGTTAGTGAACTTAGAAATTCACCGTAGAAAATAAATCTACAAATAATTCACTTTCTATTTTTTCGTATTCAGTCTTACGTTAAACCATGTTCGTCCCGTGGTTTTACCCACGGTTTATTCATGTCTTTATAAGACGTTTCAAAGTTGAGACATGTTCATAAAAGAGGTTGTAGCCGTTATTAAAACTGAAATACAAATTAATCACTAATTGGCTTCTTTAAGTATTTTATTATATATTTTATATTTATTTTCTACAAGATTAATTATTTTATTACAATATTTAGATATCACTTAGTTATATATTAACCATAATGATTCGACAATTATTTCATTTGTGACGAGATTTCAAAATAATTAATAAAGATTTTTTTTATTTATATATAGAATTAGTTAGGCATAAATATTGAGGTGAAGATTCATGTATGATTTTTTTTTCTTGTCGTTTTTATTGTTTTGAATTTGGTTCAGATATTTGTATTAAAAATCATCATATTATCTGATTTGCTTCGAATTTGGTTCTGGTATATATGAACTTAAAATATCTACATTAATTAGATTGCAGGATAATTTAATGTACATATATATATAATGTATTAGATTGTAGTTTATAGCAAATCTGGTCTTTCATGGTCTTTTGCTTTAACCTAATCAATGACTTCATCTTTGCTATATAATCAGTGAAATAACACTTGCGAAATTATACGAGCGAAGACTAAAGAAATGATCAAACAACTCATAGTAGCAAGACAATAGCATAAATCTGAAGTGGCCAAAATCAAGAAAATTGAGAACATCATACTACAAACGAAGCAGCACTTATAGCAACGACAAAAAGGTGAACTTGATAGATGTAGTAACAATGATCTATTCCTCACCGAACATATCGAAACCACCATAGTCTTCTTCATCAGATTCCTCAACCACTTCCTTCTTCTCCTCTACCTTGGCAGCTCCAGCTGAAGCACCACCACCTGCATCAGCAGACACAGCCGCTACAGCAACAGCAAACTTGCTAGGATCCTGCAGTAACATCAACGCACAAACAATACAATTAAACCAAGCAAATCAAAATTATACTAAAAAAAAAGTTAATTAATTTGATGACTAACCTTCAAGAACTCCTTGACCTTCTCTGCTTGAGGGAAAGTGTACTCAGTGGCAACTGAGATAGCCAATGCATTCTTGTAGGCATTGATGAACATATGTGGAGCAGCAGCAAGGGTAGGGTAAGAGATAGCTAGAGCCAATGAAGTAACCATGGAGATACCAGCTGCAAACTTCTGGACAAGGTCATCTTCGGTAAGATCGAGAACCTCAGGGCTGAAGACTGAACCATTGTCATAAACAGACTGGACAACAAGACCGTACGAGAACGGCCTGATGCCAAGCTTGGCTAGAAGTGCAGCCTCAGAAGAACCGACCTTGTCACCTTGCTTGATGAGCTCAACAGGGGTAATGATTTCGACTGTACCCTTGTTAATCTTAGTTGGGATGTTAAGAACCTACAAAATACCAAAGAAACACGTTAATCAGCTAATAAAACTTCAACAAGTTAAGGAAATACAACAAAACATGATTAAACCAAACCTGGAAGAAAGATGTCTGAGATGGATCAAGACCAGTGTTACCAGGTTGTACAACCACATCAATTGGCGCAACCAAACCCACACGAGCAGGAGCACCAACCTGTTCATATTACAAAACAGAACATATCCAATCACATTGTTGTAATAATAACAGAGAAATAATTTCATCATGACCGAACAGCTATATGTGAAACTAACCTTGTACTTGGCAACTTCCTCACTCACTTCCTTGAGGTCACCCTTGGTGAAGATCAAACCAACATTTCCCTATACACAAAAACACATGACCATCCAATTAAAAATCTAATATTTCAATAAAAAACTAACCTTTAAATAAAAATCTAAACTTTCAATAAAAATCTAATATTTTCGATAAAAATCTAAACTTTAGACTGTCAAAAGATACAATAAATTTGAACTTTCCGATAAAAATCTAAACTTTTCGATAAAAATCTAAACTTTCCGATAAAAATCTAAACTTTAGACTATCAAAAGCTACAAGCTAATCTAAAAACGTGAATTTACTTGAAGGAGAGGCATCAAATTGAGGATTCCAGTGTTCCCTGTATTCTCAGCGTGAATCTTAACGGAACGTTTCATCATAGTGTTCTTCCCCATGAGCACAACCGAGTCACCACGAAGACCTTTCCTGATGTTCTGGAGCTGAGTCGAACCAACGTTGTCGGCGGCAACGACAAGGATCTGAGTGAACTCGTCGATGAGCTGACATAGCTTAGCGTCGTAAGCGATCTTCTTCTCAGCCTTTGTTGCCTTCACCATTGTTGCTAGTAGCTCACGGGAATGAGACTCGAGTTTCGCTTTTGTCTGCAGAAGAGTGACGGAGATAAAAAGGGATTAGGGTTTTGGTTTCTGTGTTTTTATACTGTACGAAATGGGCAGAGGATGAAATGAATCTAGGGCTTCTTCGTAGTGATCTGAATCTAACGGGTCGTATTGTTTGCTTACTTACTGATCTGACGGCTGTTATTTATTTTGTTAAAATTGGGCTTATTCCAACATTGGGCCTATGTCTAAGGGTTCGTATATTGCTAATCTTATCTCACGGTTCTTGTTTTTTTTTATGATATTGGGCTTCTAACCAAATTGGGCTCAAATCTAGTGTTCGTATTTGCTTTGCTTTTTTTTATAATTTTTTTTGTCAGTTTTTTTGATAGCATGTCTCTCTGATCGGGTCTGATATATATGGAAAAAGATGTAGCTTCTAATTTTTGCTTATTTTACTAATGCATCCACCCAACCATTCATACTCCAGCAAATATGAGACAAGCTTACATCCTAAAACATGTCGTTGTCAGTCATTTACGACTCTTGTTTATCTTGATTATATTGAGTTATTACCAAAACTGGGCCCAAATGGAAAACAACAACATTCTGATTTTAAGATTATAAAACAACAACAACAACACAAATGTTTGATCTTATGGTTCCTTAACCTTTCATGGCTTTACTTGTGCATCTTCTTCCCAGACCCCCACATTCCCTTAACTTATAGTATTTCTCTAAGAAAAAGTACAAAATTAAAATCCCTCTTCTAAAAATGGGACACCTAATTGTCGGGAAAACGGCCGATTAGTACCTAAACTATGATCATATTGTCTAATCAATATCCATACTATTTCACTGTGCGAATTTGTACCTAATCTAATACAAATTTTGAATTTAGTACCTGAATTATGGTCATATTGTCTGATCAATACCCAAACTATTTCACTGTGCAAATTTGTACCTGATCTAGTAAAAATTTTGAATGTGCTACATGAACTTATAAAAACCGACTTTTACATACTTGCAACTGATAACATGTAAGTATAATGCTGATGTGGACCGGTTTCTTGATGAGTTGGCGTTTCTTAAAAAAAAACAAAAATTATAAAAACAAACAAAAGTGAGGCACCTTGGTTTTAACCCGTTTTCGAACATATTCATAATAATTTTACTAACCGCTTATGCTGGATAAGTTCCAAATGACCTTTGAATGGTGTCTCTGTTTATCACCACCATGTCTCAAATTATTCATCAGTTCTCATATAAATATCGTTGTTTGTCACCACCATGTCTCAAATGATTCATCAAATCTCGTATAATTAATCGTTGTTTTAATGAAAATTTTTGATGAGATTTGATGAAACGAGATTCAAAAACAATGAGATTTGATGAATGAGATTAAAAACAAAAAGAGATTTAATGAATCATTTGGGACATGGTTGTGGGGATCAGAGACACCACTCAAAGGTTATATAGTTGTTTTAGTACAACAAAACGACTAATCTTTTCTAGCATAAACGTTTATTGTCATTATTATGTTTATGTTTGGGAACCGGATTCGAATCAAGTTGTCTTTTTGTTGTTTATTTTTAACTTTTTTTTTAAAAAAACGCCAACTCATCAAGAAACCGATCCACCTTTGCAGAATACCGACATGTTGTCAGTCGCAGGTATGTAAAAATCAGTTTTTATAAGTTCAGGTACCAAATTTAAAAAATTTATTAGATCAGGTACAAATTCTCACAGTGAAATAGTTTGAGTATTGATCAGAAAATATAATCATAGTTCAGATACTAAATTCAAAATTTGTATTAGATCAGATACAAATTTGCTCAGTAAAATAGTTTGGGTATTGATCAGACAATATGACCATAGTTTAGGTACTAATCAGCCATTTTCCCCCTAATTGTCTATGCACCACTTATCCACTTTGATTATTCAAATCGATTTAAAAATTGATATATGATTTTAGTCCACCTAAGCCAGTTGAATCACTTTCTACATGACCATCTAATTTATTTTGTTAATTATTTTTATTTTAAAATTTTAAAATAGTTTATTTATTTAATCTAACATATTATAAGTGCAACTTATTTGCATAATTTTGATGAAAATTATACGTTATTAAGTTTATATTTTGATATTTGTATGTTTTATACAATTTTAAACATGAAATATTTTAAGTTTTTGAAAAAATAAAAAATAAAATATTTGATAACATATTAAAATAAATGTATCCTTCATAATTTCTATTTAATCTCTGATTTTTTCGTTAGGCGCTACACCTAACTCAACCGCTAGATTAGCGTCTAGCGTAATTCCTAGCGTCTTTTTTCACAACAAAAATTCAGTTGATAAGTTTTGTTTGATCAAAAAAATCCTCAGATTTGTATATTCTGATCAGGATAATGTTTTGTAAATAAACCAGGAACCAATTAATCCAAATACCGGTATGAAAATAAAGCGGAGCTAAATTACGGAGCCAAGTCTTCGTTTCAAACTACACCGGAGTTAAATTACGTTATTTGTGAGGTACCTAAACCAAGAGTTCTGGAACTGATATAAATAGAAGGAAAAAAATCCACATCAACCAACCATACACTTTACCCACGTACACATGAAAACAAATGAAACAAAGCAAATCAAACAAATGAAACAAATCTCAGTTAGTTTGAGCCAAACTTCTTATTATTTACTATCCTAAAACAATCTTATTATTGTTTTCAATAAACCATTTATTTTGTTTAACATTTTGGAAGATCAGCAGGTGGCGGTGGCAAGCTGGTCGACTTCGTTGGTCCGTTCTCAACCACAAATACCATCCCTAATCCAAATGGCAAGTGAACATCGATATGACAGTGCATAATCCACACACCTGAACAATGTTTCCAGAACTTAGTTTCATGCATTGTGTGTATCAACAATACAACATGTACTATCTTATAACCTATGAGCTGAGTGTTCAAATAGAGTCAAGTGAATCATTATACTAAACCGAATCCGGTTTGGATAAAGAGTTACCTGGGTTATCAGCTGTGAAACGGGTCACGGCCCACCCACCAACAGGAACAGCCAAGGTGTTACGGAACTGCGGGTCGACGAGATTGTACTTGCTACGATCACGGTTCGGTTCATAATTACCAAACCCTTGAGCCAACACGTGGAAGTTAAACCCATGGAGATGCATGGGATGATTCTCCGCAGCGATAAGCGCGTGGTTCTGGAACACCAAATCCACCGTCGTATTGAACTTCAAGATCTTAGCGCTCGTTGTCTTTTGAACGAACAAGAGTCCCGGGTTTGTTTGGGTTATGTTCGGGTCAGTGTAATCGAACTTAACCGGAGGCTGGTTTGGAAAATCCGGCGTGAAAACGCCTTCAACACCGTTGTAAACCGCTTCCAAGATGGATAGCTTTTTGGGTAAGACAAAGGAGTGGTTGTTCATGGAAGCAGAGAATTTCGGACACGTGGTGTTGTCTGAACATGCCTCTAGTCCTAGCCCGATGGTCACGAGCATCTCCTCGTCCACGTGGCGAGGCACTGGGACCCAGTGTGGTCCACCGACCAAGCTGGTTAGATTGGAGTAGAACTTGTGAGCTGTTGGCGTGTCGAAGAAAGAAGGCAGCGTCGGCATCAACACGCGCTTTGTTTTACGTGCTTTCGACGCGCCATTGATGTAGTGGATGACGCCTCTGGTGGTTGTGTTGGGGAATGGCACGATGGGTGCGCTGGCGTAAGGATGAGCCGCCATGTAGTAGGAGGAGCCGATGGACTGATCGGCGTAGAGGAGCGCGTCAACGGTTTGACCTGGTGCGATGGTGATGACATCGGTGACGTAAGGGTTGGTGTAGACTGCGTCGGCTGCGACAACTGTCATCTTATGGTTGGCTATTTTGAAAAACAGTGGAATATTCATTGCCGCGTTTATAATGCGGAGTAAATATAACTTTCCTTTTACCACGTCTAGGTTAAACATTCCTGTTTATTTCATTTCAGACAAAAAAATGGTTAGATTGCAAAATGATCGTTAGAAAAGACTTGATTAGTTACCGACAATAAATATTTGTTTCACTACGTAACTATATTATATTAGATGAGAATATCAACATAATATTGGATAGTGGTATAAATTCTGTGAAACTAACTTGTTATTTACATATATTGCGTATATCAATCCATGCAGTAATGTGTGATTAGAGGGGATACTTATATGTTATTGCATTTTAGTGTTCAATGTGTTTCAAAATTTTCATATAAGCCACTGGCTTAAAGCCAGCATGCAATAACATTTTTTGTTATTTCACCAAAAGTAAAAGTACCTAAAATTGTTAAAGAACATGCATGTAACCATTATCACACTCAATTTATTTAAACCTCAACTAGCTATATGATTACTTCTAGCGTATATACTTTATAATTTCTAGCACCCCATCACCAATAACACGTAAACTAGGTAAGGGGACCCTTCACAAAATGACATTCATAGCATTTACTATAATAACCAAAAGGTGTTTCTTGTTAAATAGTAATTAATTTGGTAAATTTCTTCTTCCTTTTGACTTACTGTCTTTGGAGCATGGATACATGTTTCCTGGCAGGCCATTGATCGTATATGCGTCGGAATTGTTCGGAGGAATTCCGGTGGCGATTGCAGCCTCTTCTAACGCGACTACATCGGTGTTCCACCATTCACCTGTTTAATTATACAATTTGAGCTTAATATTAATATTTCTAATAATTAAAATTATAGAAGACTTTTGGCTAACAGGCTAACTACTTTAAAATAGAGGACGACCAACATCCTTTCGCATTATTCACCAGCTGTACTACTAAAGTTTATATGCATTTTGATATCAATAAAATAAAACAAAATAAATTATTTAGTTGAGATGTACCAAATAAGATGGGAACTTCTTTGTGTGGTTTGGGAAACGGGTAAGAGTGACCGGATCTAGGTCGGATGATGAGAGCACCGTATACAGTGGCGCGTAGGAAAGACGAATGTGCGTGCCACCACAAGGTACCTTCTTGGTCGGTGATGTCGAACCTGTAAGCGTAGCGATGGCCAGGCTGGATTGGGCACTGCGTTATCATGCTCGGTCCATCCGCCCAAACCGTCAGTTTATGGAATAACCCGTGCCTAT